ATATATATATATATATGAACTCTTTGTCAAATTTCAAAAGTCCAAATTTTTTGATTGTATTTCTATTGTGATGGATTGTTTTACAAAGATGACACATTTAGACACACAACAATACTATCATATGTATAAATACAATAGTACTTTTTTCAATAAATATGTACAAATAAATATAATTCATTTCCAACAATATCAATTCTCATTATGAAATGCAGTTCATGTTCAAATTGTGGCAATCTTTGTTCAATATCTAACATATTATGATCAATTCATTATGTACGAACCAAACAAATATATTAACTATTGAAGAAAAATTTAAATTGCTCCATCAATTATCATCAAGACAATTGGATAGATCTAATTCTAGTTGCAAATTTTGACTACAAAAATACATTTCAAGAATACATCCACCAAACTCCAATCTTTGCAAATTATGAATATCATTCATGATTTGATATTTTGAACTTGTATTGAAGGGTGTCAATCTACGCAAGATCTATTGACTAGAATTTTGGACATCAACAAAAACATGAAGAGAAGACTTATAGAAGGTCAAAAGCGGCATAATAAAAATAAAAAGAAGTTTTGTAAGTAAAATCCAAACATCTAAGTTAGAAATAAAGTCTGGCTTTTGTGTCGCAATTTGAATATTTTCTGATTAAACGAAAAACTTGACTATCATCATTTTTTTTAGATCAACAAGATAACAAAAAAGTTGAACTTGCCATCATTTATGAAAATTTATTTATTGTTTCATATATCTTTGATCTAAATGTATAAAATCTTGACTATTTCAAAATGTTTATTAGAATCTTCACCATCAATCAAGATTAATGGAGAAATTTTTTATAACATTTCTAAGAATCTTAATTTCCGCATCAATCAAAGAAGAATTAGAATATTTTTTACATTAGTATGGTTACAAAATAAGCAAGCAAACTTAAGAACCTATTGTTCATATTGTTAGCGCTCCTAAAATGATAAAAAAAATTATCGTAAATATCGGACAAAACCGAGTTTCAAAAATATTTGAATCCAACACGTGTGAATTAATACAAGCACAAATCAAACTGTAATCATGAAATTATCATTTGATTAGGTGCTGTCACAATGAACACATTTTTGACACGTGACAATAACAGTGATTGTTGCGGCTGACAACTCACACAACATTCTCATTAACACTCAAAGCTCCAAAACTAAAAGTTCTAACACTCAAAGCAAAAAGAGCAGGAAGTAGTATTGTTACTGGAAAATTAACTAGTGTTGATGAGAGTGACGTACAATGTTCCAAGTCTTGCTGTTTATATTGCTCAAATGCTATTAGAAAAATTTAAAGTTAGAAAGTTATCACCTCCTCCGAAATTGAGGAAAAAATTGGCAGCGACTCTAAAGTTGGAAAAAGTCGCACCATCATTATCATTGTAACGTTTGACATATTGTTCCACAAATATATTTCTTTTTCTTGTTTTTATAAAAAGTCCACACCTCTCCAATTTGGAAAAAGTTTGCCCCGTCGTTGTCCGTAACATCTTGTACTAAAAATATGTTTACTCTTCTTGTTTCTAAAAAATTCTATTTATTCACTGTATGGTTGATGTCATCTTCAGCCAACTTTCAGTTACTCTAAAAGTTTTAAATTGTGCCTAAGTTCAAGTTTGAAACTCCAATGGAAGTTAAAAGTTCATATTTTTATTATAAAATGAACTGCTGCAACCATAAGCCAGATATTTGAGAAGAATACCATAATAGTTAAGTATAAATAAATTTAAAATATAAAAATGGAGTGACTAGTTATCACTCAGTTAGGGTTAATTAGCCCTCATTACTATATCTTCTTATCTAATTGGTGGAAAATTTAATAGTTGCTACTGCATCGTTACTAGGCTGCATTAGCTCTAAGTGAATGATAACTACCCGACACTTTAAAAAGTTTAATAATCGAGTATATGTAAAGTTACGCTGAACTGGGGAGGATAATTTTGTAAACATGATGGTGTGTAAACATTTAGTCAACTAACAATCAGTGTAGTACTGTACAAACATAGACGCTGACAGTCTAGCATACTCGAACTTTCTTAATTTCGAATACCAGGAGATTTGGGAATATCCACAAACCTGCAAGTGGAGTGAGCTTTAGTGAATCTCTGTCTCATTTGCTTGGAAAGTTCTAGTCAGAAGATCTTCTTGAACATCGCAACAATATACCAAAGATTTGACGAAAGTCTCACAGTAGTGGGCATGCCTGGACAAGCATATAACAGTTACATACACTGGAGCATTTCAAAATTGCTTGGAGTTGCTGGCTGTATGTTTAGCAACTATCTCTAGAGGAAATCACCAAACAGCGAGAGATGAAGTCAATTGAGAAAACTTTCATATCATCTGTGCATTCATTTTCAGTCAAAGTAGCCTATCAAAATTATACCAAAATGCAATTTTCTTGAATTACCTCGTGCACGTTTATATTAAACATCAATATAAATATTTCTTCTATAAAAAATCACAATACATTCAATACATCGACATATTTATACCATAATCATTATCATACGATATGTATGTGCATGAGAGATGAAAACATGACATCCTAATCTTAATCAGTCATTGATTTTTCAATTTACTTTTTGTTACCATTTCTCACCTTGACAAGAATAAACTAACAAGAATATGCAACAAGGAGATCTCTTGTTCGAGATCAATTCTTCTTCTCCATTTTTCAACGCAAGGGAAGATGGGGCAAAATATGCACTGTGCTAAATCAAATCGCACTCTTAAACTTCTTGAGCAGATGTGAAAATTGGCTACAAGGGAAGAGAGAAGAAAAACTCAAAAAATTTCCAAGTTTAAATCTAAGCGAGAAGAAAAGCCTCAGTTTGCGAAGCTCAGAATAAGAAGACACGGGGCAACATGGATTTATCAAGTTCATAGTGGTGTGATCCGGAGTCTCTGATACACATCTTTAAAATTCCAGTCAAGAGGGATTTTTCACTTTTTCACTTTTAGTGCAGACTAACAACGGCGCGCACCGTTGCGCCACCCAACGGGTGGACAGGAAAGGTGCGGTGGCGAGTACCTCTCCGAGTGAGAGAGCATTCGTCCCGTCCAGCTTGAGAACGGGGGTCGCATGACCAACCGGGCCCCACCGGTCGACTAGTCAGAAGGTGGCGGGACCCACTCCAGGTTCAAACTAGGGGCTCCTCCAAATTTGGAGGAGTTCCCAGGAAGGGGTGAGTCTCACGGAACATCCTTCCTTTGGCCAGAACAATTAACCCTGGCTCAGCCGACGCGTCCCTATATGTGACCGCCCTTTGGAAGAAGGGATGCCCGTTGCCTCTTAAGTCGGCGGAGGTGGCCCTGGAACCGTGAGAGTCGAGGTCCGTGAGGCAATAGCGTGCCTTCTGCAAGTCGGCCGCTATGTTAGGGACCGGGTTTGACTTGACTTGGCAGGAACATAACGTCCAAATTTAGATGATGCTGTTATTTATCCGCGTCTTTGTGCAGTGGGAGACGTCGTCACCACTGTTAGAGCCAGCACACAAATATATGTTTATTTATCAGCACGAGGAAACGGACAATAATATCTCTTTGAGCCGCATATTTTCCTCAATATTTCCAACTTCATAAATATGTAAAAAAATTTCGACAGATGACAACATAGTTTCGAACATTCTTTTACGACGTGGCATGTCCGAAGCTTGTCTTTGCACTCATGCACGTCTTTCAAGTTGAATACCGATTCTCTGTACCAACAAGACTTCACTAACACTTCTTCTTCCCTTGGACTGGGCAAAGATACATTAAAAGTCAGCAAGCAGTTATCAGTGGGAAGCTTCTGGAGAATTATTAATTCATTTTTGTGTTCTTAGAGAGTATTGACTTTTCCTCTAACTAGTATTAACTGATGTGACTTGTTAAATCACATGCGTTTAGACATTTTCACATGCGTTTTGGATTTTTACTCCTGCCGGAATCTCGCAAACACATACCAACTCTAAACATTCTTAATATCCGCTCTATTATTATTCAACACTTTTACGCCTTTTCTGATTTTTGGGTATCTTATAACTTTGGTTTCTGACTCTATATTCTCGTATTCTTTGAATCTGTTACAATTGGGTTTTCTCCTCACCATAAATATTTAATCAAATCTCTGCAAGTTCTTCTCTGCTTCGGTATCAAGCAGATTAACCGTAGGATCATAAAAATAAAAACAGAAAAACTTATAAAATTTCTCATAATAAAAATTGTATTTTAAAGAATCAGACTAACGTATTAATAAAAAAAAAATACCAATTTCTGCAGTATCACACAACGATCCAGAACCCAAAACCGTAGTCCCTATAAGATGCATGTCATATGAGATCCGTTCAGATCGCACTGAACCAGGACTGTTAATGATCCACGCTATGACCTTCAACTAACAGAACTCAAAACTCCAAATTCTTAGCGGTGTCGTCAAACGTTGTGCTCTGCTCGTGCGTGCGTTGGGAGGACTCCATTTGAAAGGAAACGAAAAGCGTCACATGGTTCAAATCAAACAGCAGAGCGTCTGAATCAATCCGACGTGATCAATTTATCGATAATACTAACCAGTGGACTCTCCTATCCATGGAAACAATGTGATTAGATTAAACCATCTAAATTAAACTCGTAGTATGTAACAGAGAATTAAAATATTAATAATACATTACCTCAGCATGGGAGACTCCCACAAACACCGAATGCATTTGATGTACCGAATTTTGAAGTTTGAGCATATCGTCATTACATATGATAATGGAATGAGGCTACAATTTTGTTCATGGATTAACATACTTTATCCACCCATTATTGTTAATGAGGCGGACGGTTAACAGCAGCATAGGGTGTAAAGTCAAGCCAAGCCAAGTCAAGTTCGTGGGAGCGAAGGCAACCATGGAGGGGAGAATGAGGAACATCGGGACCAATATCGACGAGGAAGTAACGGATAGAGGAGCGGGCGAGAGAAAGGCGCCTGGACAGAGCATCGGTGTTGGGAAGCGAGGGAGCGAGGGAGCGAGGGGTGGGCGGGCCCCGCCGAGCATCAGTCAAGGCGATCGGGAGAGCGATTCCCTTCGATTCTATTCGTTTGATTTTATTAATTTGTGGAGGAATTGATTTCCGCGGCTTTTCTTTAATTTCTTCGACCGCTCTTCGCCTCCTGCGTCGACCGAATGTTCTTCGTCTTCCTCCTCCTCCTCGTCCTCCTCTTCGTGTGCACCCCGAGCGCTGCGCTACTTCTCGATTCGTCTGCTCGCCATCCGTCGTCCTTGCGCCTTTAAAATCCGCTTCCGCCTTGGAACCTCATCGCTGTGTGCAAGCGCGTAACTCTGAGTCGTCGCGTATCTGTTTCTTTCATCTTTTGATCGATCTGTTTATCTTTCTATCTGTTTGTTTCATCGGCTAGTGTTTTGTTTATCGAACCGGAAGGAAAGAAGGGAGGGCTGAACAATAAGAAGAAGACGAAGAAGAGGATCTGATTTCTGCGTCCTGATCGGGGAGGCTGCGGAGTCGTAGCGTGCGTTGTGTCGTCGGGATGGCTAACGTTGAGGAGCAGAAGCCCTTGATGCAGCAGGATGAGGAGGAGAATCTGTACAGGGGCGAGAAGGAGCCCGGGGCCAAGAATGGTGAGGCCGATGCAGAGCAAGAGCCAGCCGTTGCGCCGCTCGAGCACCCGGAGAACATGTACGTAGTGACCCAGCCCGAAGTTCGCCAGCGTCAGCCGTGGAGGACGGGGCTGTTCTCCTGTATGGGCAACAATGACGAGTTCGTCAGCAGCGACCTTGAAGTTTGTGAGTGTTGCCTTTTTCTTCGCTCTCCGCTCGTCTCTTTTGCTCTGTCTGCCTTGATCATCAATGCAGCCGTTCTTGGTGTTTGTTTCCGCATCGGATTTGTGAACAACATTTGTACCTCTTTGTTAGCGAGGCTTCCGACGTTGTTATCAGCTGTGATTTTTTGGGGGATTTTCTGTGGAACCTCATTCACAAATTATCTCTTGCTCGTGGACAAATACTTTCCTAGAGCATCAGTGCTGTGTGACAATTTCAAAACTAGAAACCAGATCTTGTAATCATTCAACATTCATCCTTGAACCCCATCTCTCCCGTGCTTTGGAATATACGAAGAGTCGTAAGGCAACAAGCATTTTGCTTCGCTAGCTGTATACATTTGAAAACCTTCATGTTCACTCTCCTAGAAGTCCATATTTTGAGGTAAGGTCGTTCAGCGGAGTTTAGTCTTCATTGAGAGCACTTCTTCTTCTCCTCGTGGGTTCTAGTGACACGTGAATAAGATCTAATAAAATATAGACATCGATCTGGTCGTGTACTTTTTTTAACACGATGCCAGCTTTGTTTGATGACTTCTCTCTTTCTGAGTAAAGGCCGGTTAAGTTCACCTCGTGTACGTCGCATCTTCCGTCACTTGATGATGTCCACTGTGATTGGGCATGTCACTCTTCTTTGCGGTAGATCAAATGCAGCCTCTACTTGGGCCTTCTTTCAACTTTGTATACAGCCAGGCGCGAAGTGTCTGGGTTCAGGGTGTTTACTTACGTCTAACTGATGCTGTGAATTTGATGTGCTACCGAATATACCCTGTCGAAATTTGCATGATCAGTCAGAGGCCCGTAGCCTATAAATGTCCACTTTTAGTTCGATTCGCATTGCCACACGAGTATTGCACGATGTGTTGTGTCGCTGAAACCTAATGTTCTGAGCCTGCTTTGCCTTGATCAGGTGTACTGGGATTGTTCGCACCTTGCGTTCTTTATGGCAGTACCATGGAGCGCCTCTATCCAGGGCAGGCTACCTTTTCCAGTCACTGCATGGCGTACAGCAGCCTTTACTTCATGGGCCACTTCCTGTTCAATGGCAACTTTCTTGCACCATGCTTTTCCTTTCCAAGTCGAACTGCTCTTCGTCAATCATACAATCTCGAGGTAATGGGAAACCTGTATGCTTGGCATTTGTGTCGCGAGTGTATTACGCTTGATGATGTTGCTCTTTGCCTTTTGGCTCTCTGATGTTAGCTGGTTGTGATGAATCAGGGACATGGCGAGTCTTTGGTCAATTCTACCGGATGCTGCGCCAGTCTAGTTCGTGACGAGGAAAAATTGGAACGTTGTGAATCAATGTTGGACTTTGCCGCCCATTTCTGCTGTCACCAGTGCTCTCTCTGTCAAGAAGGTCGCGAGATCCGCCGCAGAACAGTCCATCCAGCTCACAGACCTCGTTATTACATGGCAATGGCTCCCCCAGCTCCTCAAGTCATGTCTCCTCCACAGTAATCAGGTTGTGACTTCCTCCGGAGACTCACGTTAGGAAGCTGCTAAGGTCGGAATCTGTTCTTGGATGCTCTGGGTGCCTCTTTTCTTCTCAGAGACACGGTGACGAAGAACGTGCAACTAGCCTAGACCTGGAATCATCCAATTCCGAACAATTTCAAACTGTTTCCTGCTTTAGCTTTGGATGGCTAGTGGATGATTCATTGTGGTCTTGCCCTCTCGCCTGGTTGTTCTTCCTGTATAAGTGATCAACATAAGGCAAGACTCATTGTATTCATCATTCGGAATGCGATGTGTTTGTGCCTCAGGCGATTAGATACTTGGCGGACCACGCACAGGGACTTATATATAGCTCACATACAACAGGATACAAAGAATCTTCTCTACACTTAGTAATCATTGTAAACTTGTAAGTAAATTGTTTTGTTGCTCGATTCCAGCCAGGCTTGAGCTCCGCACAACATATATAGTTTAATCCACATTCTATGAAGTGTAGATCAAGGTTGGCAAAAGCAGTTACTGTGTTATGGTCCTTTACCGTGTCTGTCTATTGTTTTAATCGCCAAAGTAAGTATATATGCATGTACTATCTCTGAATACAGGTGAGATTGGCCACGCATAGAAAGACGTCTACACTCCAAGTTTAGATCAGGGTTTGTACTAATAGACTTGATAGTTGGTCAGTGTAAAGTTCTTTTCCATCATTTTTGGTGGAAAAGAACTTAATGACTTAAGGCTAAGGTATTATGACATCTTGAAAATCAAATTTAGGAAATTTGACCGCCAGGCCTGGAAATGTCGATCATTGTAGAAAGGAAGTCCGTCGTTTCATAAGACTACGACTCGGTTTTTGAAAAAGTGTTAGTTTATGTGTGCATAACTTAGTGGTGATAAATAATTTTCGTGTTCTAATGAGTGCAACCTACTGTCCATGTAGGGGGTCTATAATCATGGGAAAGTACGTAAGTTATTGTCTAAATATTATAGTGCTACTTTTTTTTATATGTAATGAGTCTCAAATAACATCTTTTGACAGCCAAGAAATATAGTAATACATACTCAATATTGTGAATGAACTTTTCTTGACTATCAACATTGTGTTCTAATCATGTTATTCTGAATACACAGAAAGATGCAATATGGTGTCTATCTATCCTGACAAAAATACTCATAAATCACACAAAATATGGAATTCATAGAAATCACACGACGATGTTGGATTTTTGAGATAAAAGCATTTGATCTTACATGTATTGCGTTTGAATAGATCGTAAAAATTGTTCAAACTAATATGATTTTAATTTCAAATTTGGAAAAATCTGAACAAATAGAAGAACTCTTTGCTAGTTGAAATCTTTCGTTATAGTCTCAAATGTCAAGAAGATCTATAATCACTAACTCCCACTATATTTGACCGTTTTCTACGTCCTAGAGTTTTCTAATTTCGCCTGTATCTAAAGTTTCAATTTATTGAATAATTGTTTGAAGAAAAGCGAACAGGCCGATCATAAGTGAAACTGAGTTTTGAGAATTCCAACTAAGTTCATTCCTTTTTATTTATGTCACTGCAATATGTAATAGTTCCAAACATCTCCTACACGATAACAGTAGAAATTTTTTGATATTCAAGTATCAAGGCATATTCATCCTGATTTGATTTGGCAGTGGCTTTATTCTTTTTCCGAATGACGACTGCTTTCATTTCCGGAAGAGGCCAATAATTAAGAATGGTAAGTATCAAAGTTCTCCGCCCCTAAAATTCCAGTCTGGATTGGGTTTGTTTCCCAGAAAGGAGTAGGTTCGTACGTCCACTCGTTAGATCAATAAAATCAGATTGTGTGACTAGCCTTCTCTGAGAACTTGCTCATTGCTTCCTCTTTCATACTTTGTTTGAAGTACTAAGTCTCATAGTTGCACAATTATCAGTCATGGAACTGGGCCCACTGCACAAGGTGAAGAACTCGAATATTTTAGAAAGAAATGATCAAGATTCCAATCATCCTCGCTGAGAAAATTGAGTAACTTCGTTGGGAAACTTGGATACTCTTGGATCTCGATCTGGTGACCAGCTCGGCTTAAAAGCGATGCAAACAACGATAAATCATCCGTTGATCCTGGAAATATTAAAACATGTACAGCACCTTAACTACTGGCATAGAGCATTAACGCTGAAGGAAGGCCACTTCACAGTAATCACTATCTCTTCTACCTCCCCGTGATCGCCATCGGAGCAGCAGGCCTAAATTGTCTTCTTACTTCGTACCCAATTTCCCTGGCTGAAGATGTTCCCAACTATGCATACTCGTCAATGACCGTGGCCACCATTCTCAGGAAAAGTGTCATGGTACACAGAACGCGGACCAGGTAAGCGATGGTGAAGCTGAGGGTGAATCGTGCAAGCAGGGCTCCTCGACTATCTTTGATTTAGAGGTGACAGCTGAAACCAGTCTGCAGATTTGTCAGTCGGTCCTTGCTGTTAAATTTAACCCACTTTTATTGTTATGGTCCAAAGTAAAAGGTACGATTCTCTTCATGTTCCTCATGCATAGTCCATTAACTTATACAGCTTCCATACGTTATGAAACACAACAATCGAGCACAGCCTATTGGTAGTCGAGAAATTTTTCGCCGCTGATCTCTGCTTCTACGTTGCATGTTTTAATCGTCTGAGTAATTCCAAAAAAGTTTCGAAGTCCTGGCATGCAAAGGCCAGGTAGTTACGAGAAGTAGTAACAGAGAATGTTGGTCACCTGCTTCTCTCTCTATCTCTACATCTCACTGAACGCCACCGAATCGTAACTCCCGAAATACTGCGATCACTCACGTACTGTACACTCGCCTTGATGTGACATCCATATCAGGTCCAGGGTATGAACCTTTGATTCGTTCATATCTTCGAGTGTGGCACTGTGGCCTGTTAGTCCAGATCCTCTTCACTCCTGTAATCTGTCCTTCATGCCATCTATCCAGAAGATAATGGTGGCCATTATGTCACGATGGGAGCCACAGATCAGCCTTCAGCCGTACACATGTCTCTCGTGTACGGCTGTACTGCAGTAGATTTCATCTCAGGGCCACAACAAATGATAGACCTGATGCACCGAATGAGCTCATCGTTGCCAGCCGTTGTGGACGTCACATGGTTGCATTCTTCTCAGAATGGACCAGTTGGTTTGGATCCCTGGGGGAAATTCAGATGGGGAAGAGTCATAGTGTGCTGGCTGGTGGCTGGGGCCAACGATCGGTTCGTCCAGAAGCGTATGTTGTCTTCCCTTGACGAGCTTCATGTAGGAATATCAGAGAGACGAAGATCATCGCTAACGCTTTGACACGGAATGTCTGCTGTCCATGTTTCTCTTTCCGTGTAGGTCCTACAGGCTGGGAACCGCCCGCAGCCGTCCCCAGTAGAGAATGGGATGGTGTTCATTCGATCGTCCTTTTTCCAAGCCATGCTGTCAAACCCCAATTCCTATAATGTACCTCTCACCCGCTTTACATGTTACTCGTCCACTGAACTCTACTCGTTAGTGCTCGAGATTCAATCAGTACCAGTGGTGAAGGAAGTAAGTCATCATTCTTCGGAGAGAGATAAATTATGCCGCCGAACATCTCCAATCATCCTACAAACCTTCAAATCCTTGAAAAGTCTGACGCGCCCCTTTCTTTGTCTGTGGGAATTGTCAAAACCTTCAGAAGTCGTCTCGACAGTATGCCAGCGCTCAGAGGACGAGCTTGTCCGTTGCCGATCTCGTCGGCATGATATTGACCGACAGCGGATGACATTATCGCTAAAATGGTACGATTTCCAGCTGAGAATAGAGTGCGATCTTGTACAGCTCTGTGAAGTGCATTACATGGATCCGATTTCATCCTCGTTTCCGAGATTCGCCTCTTGTTCAAAGGAGTACAGTACCGCGTGCTTCCTTCCTGCCTGCCTGCCTTGCCAAATCCACTCCGACCTAAATTCTGGTCGTTCGTCCAGCTCCTCGGAAGGGTCCGAGGGACCAGAGTCATGGAAGGGTGGACGTACACCTTGTGACGATGCTTACGCAGGTCGCAGAGTTGGGCGAACCCTCATCAAAGCGCATCCAGGACTCGAGAACGTGGTCACCGACCTCGCTCCGGAAATCCATCGCGGCACGCAGGCTTGTTTATCGAGGCCGAATCCAGTTCATTCGCACGAAAGCCTCGTGAACCCAATCCTCTATTCCGGCCGTTTCAGGACGAGCCTCTGGAACCGCGCTCGCACACTTGCCATTTTGCGAGTACTGCACACGTCGCTCTTCGGCTTGTGCCAATTCGTGCATGTCTCCGCCCATCCTCTCGCAGATGCGATGGCACTCGCTGACGACAGACGGTGCTCGATGTGATTTCACAAATCTTCCACCGAGTGCATCGCTCTCCGAGCGTCTGAACACGAAGTGCCGTCGTCGATCGCTTTGACGTTCACCTCGAACGAGTCTGAGCCACTGGCAGCGCGCATTTCAATTCGTGATGTTCCGCCTTGACGCAGGCCGGGGGAGGAACCCCTGCAGGAGAACCGGCCTGCCCGGTCGCCACGCCGGTATATCACGACTTCCGAAGCAGGTCTCGTAGAAGACGACCTGTAATGCTCAGTCGAAAACGCCGAGTGTGAGAGGAGCGAAGCATGACGATATTCCGGGACTAGATACTGCCGCACTAATGGTTAAGCGGTGAGGACCACGGAAGCCACCTCCGGTACGAACCGGAAATGCAAGTCACGTTCTTCGTGCCAAATCGCCACATGATACACCTTCTCCTCTAATTCGCGGGCCGCAGACGCACATAATCCGGCATTGATTGCAATTTCCGTCTCGGAAGAAGCGGAATCCCTTCATTCTCGTACGGTGGAGAGGCAGCAGCATCGGATAACAAACTGTTTTCCGTAAATAATAACCGCAAAATGAATTGTCCTGCCCGCCTTCGAGCATTCGAGTTCGAGAGCTTGAGGTACGCTGTGCGTCTGACATCTTCCTCCGTTGCGCGAACGACATCGGATTATTAATACACTCCATCCGCGCTTCGAATTCGGCGAAGACTGCCGGTGACCGACCGATCTCTCCGGTCTGTTTCGCAAGGCGCTAACCTCCTATTTTTCAGTGCGAAATGCTTTCGCAGACCTGCGCCAAATATCTCGACTTTCGTGATTGGTCACGCACCTCTCCTTCCCTGAACACGCTCCCCGCGCACTCCGTGCCTATGGCAGCCAAAGGCACGACACTATAAGGAGAGGCGCTACGCATTTTGTGGGCCCTCCGGGCCGACCTCCACACACGAACGCATTCCACGTATTTGAGTTCATATGTGTTAGCATTTTTCATTAATTTAACTTATTGTTACTTGTATAATCTGATGGGCTAATGAAATATACATGTCGTACCCATAGTGTTCAATCATGGCCTTGGTCCTCGGGTTGCCCTGGGTTATGGTTTATCGTGTATCGTATAATTTTTTCCTATGCGTTAGCCAAGGATATATGTAAAAGAAAATTCATGGTGATGCCGTAAAATGAATAAGCATTCTGACATCGACAATTCTTAGATATCTAAGAATTGTGTATTATCATTTTGATACTTATGGGCCTAATTCGCTAGTTTAGAATTCTGGGTTTTAGTTCAATTCTTGGATTATCAGCTGAATTTTCTGCTATCTGTTTCTATTTGGTTTCAGAACATCTTCTGGAATTTATAGAATTTATGAAAGAAATCAACGCGTGATGATGTTTCTCGGTGGTGCCCTCGATATATGTGGAAGTGAAGAGAAGAGATGCGTTTTCCGCCGCGGCTGCCCTGAAGCCGTTACGTTAAAGATGAGTTCGAACGCCGGACGGATTACGCGCCACGCGACGACGATCCAGGCGACGAGTCGAGGGTCGAGGGCCCACCGGACGAGACGCCTTCGAAGAGCCGAGCGCGAGCTCTACGAGAATGATGATGCGACGCTCGTCCGCCTCTCGTCCTCGATCCACATCTGGACGGTAATAACTTCCGAATGATCTCTCAGGTTCTGCATGCTCATCGACTGCCGGTCCAGTTCATTAAGAGGCTTATTGAACCCTCGAATGGTCACTTAAAATCTCACTTTCTAGCTTTAAAATCGATCTTGTTTAGCTCTCTGAACCTCTAACTTATGATTTCTTTGTATACTTCCGGGCACTCGATGGAGCTTGAAACTTGAATGGCCATAGAAAATCCTCTTGAACGGCTGAACTGTGTCCTTCTTTCTTAAATCTGTCTTTGGATCAATCGTAAGGCAACTTTTGTAGTGAAGCGGGTGTTCTACTTCCGGACTTTCTTGTGCTTATGGAGACGACGTGCTCGGATCGGAAGGCCCGAAGTCTTCCCATACCTGGAACTCTCGTCTTCCTCGCCGTTTGTCACAGAGCTTGACTGGCCAACATATTGAACTGTCAATACGTAACAATTCGCTGTATCTACCAGAAGACAACCGGAGGTGAGGATTTGGGTACGCGACGACATTTGGAGTTCCATGGCCGCTGCACTCCACCTCGTCCTATTTCTCATACCGATTTCGAGTGTGGAGCCTTCACATGATAACAAGAACGGCAATGACGTGCCTGACTGATCAATGAATGTGTACAGTTGCTTAAGAACAGTACTTTCTTGATGACTCGCACGGCGAATTGTGCCGCAGATACCATTAATTAATCTCCATCGCGCCCGAGGGTTCGCACTGTTGGCGACGCAGCTAAATGCGGGTGATAATGTGAATGGCCAATCTCGATTTTACGTTACAGTAATGTCCACTTCTGCATCGTGGCGTCGACACGTATATGACCTACGTGACCATCTATGTCTGTTCTCGACAAGAACGCAATGCGGGCACGCACAATGAGGAACAAAGGACGAGCTCCTCGCGCTCATAGGAGCGTACCATAGACTCGAGCCTCTCGCGTCGGTCAAGACGCCGAGACCCTTGAAGGTGCGAAGAGCTGCGTTAAGATTTCGGATAGCGCAGTAGCGACGCCGGTCGTCCACCTCACCCGAGCGATTCCGAAAGAGACCATCCATTGCTCAAGGCCAGTGCCGTTTTTCGGTCACCGGTCCTTTCAATCAGCGAGCGATGGTTGTACTGGCTCGGGGAGAGAGCGAAAGCAAATTGTCGAATGGCGAGCTTGCTACACCGAGAGGCCAGCAGTACTGTCACGATACTATTGATGTATGGTGCTCTGCAACGCAAGTCCGGAAGGAGGCCCAGCAGCCAAGGCCTCGGGATGGAACCGATGTATCACTTGCAGTAAATTCTTAATGATCGTGTGTTCTTGCACGTGCTTTCTGTCAGTTTCTGACAAGCAGTTTGGCAACGCACTGGAATCCGTATGCCAATAAGAAAGGCGGGGTTAGCTTATGTTCGTATGTGCTCCATACACGGGGAATCAGGAACCCGCCCCGCCTTCTGCAATCCTTGGCGCCGTCGTTCAGAAACTTCTCTCGTCGGTACATCTCCATTTCGGCGGGCTTTTAAAATGTTCATCACTTCCTCTACTTCAAGTCTCCCTGAACTCTTCTTCCATGATCTCCTCCTTCTGCCTCCTATCGTTAACCAGTGGCCCTACATCGGGTTATTATTCTCCCTGGCTCGTGGCTGGGTCACAATAGACCTTGTACCCCAAAGCCTGCCAGTTTAGTGATGGGCCTGGCTCTCTCTGCACTGCTTTCGCCCTTCGCCCCTCCCTCCGACAATGAACTGCTTGCTTGTGTTGACCAAGACGTCATATATTTAGTCCACCTGTGATTAGTTGGTTCTCGCTGGGAAAGGGGATTTTCAACTTCCTACTTGAAAGCCGAATCTCGTTCTCTCTATTATCTCTTCGGCTTCTATTTGATCTCCGACTCTAGTCGGTTTTGAGTTCTGCATTGTGGTGGTTGTCAAGGTCTCCTTGTCGATGCCGTGATGTAACTTCTCCTGAATGGCGGTCTTCTCTTATTTTTCTGAGCTGTCCTCTTTCTGAGTCGGGAGGAGCAGATCATCTCATTTTGGTATGCGTGACGGAGGCACGATTGTGCTCTTATTCTAGTAGCTCGAGCTCTGTCCATGCGCGTGGAGACCGACTGAAAGTCCCTGACATAGTCAAGGATCTCAACGATTTTGTGCGTGGCGAGTTAACTTTTAAGAAGATGATTTTGCGAGTAAGTCTGAGAGTCTCGAAACCTCTCCCTAATGAGACTCTTCGTCGAATTCTTCGGAATATCTTCTTGCTGCTCTATGCGTGGCATGCCTGCTGTGCCCGGATTATAGTTCCGACGTTCTGGTACCACGTTCTGGTACTACCCTTCCGCTGTGTGTGTGCAAAGATGTGGTCGGCACAGCATCTCGAAGGCGAAAACCTTTTTGCTCATGGCAGTATAGCGAAATGTCACTGAGTTCTCGGCCAGCTCAAAATTTTCTCCTCTGCGCATCCATGCCAATCGAGGTCTTGACTAAGAATTACACGCGGCGTATTGCTTTCATTCCTGGTGCAGTGCTACACGAAGGCCTCTCCACTTTTTGCAAGACCGGGTGGCCTCGATGAAACCAGTTGGTCACGGATCAGATTCAGCATACCTTGCGACAAGGAGGGATTAATCCAATTTTCGGTCTCTTCCTCGCCGACATCTATTGCTTGGCGTCAGGTATCAATGAGTCTGGATTCTCAGCTCTCAATCAGTTCAACGCTCTAGCGCCGAAGAATGTACTTCAACCGAGGCATAGTGTAGGCAGTAATCTGCAAGCTTGATATGTGCTCTTGACGGCCGTCTCAAGTTCTATCTCGATTCTCGGTGGGTGTGCGAACTTTTTGATGTGACGATTTGTGGGGAAACCTCAGCAGGTACTTGCCCAGTGCTCGAGGAGGCGAACAATGTGCTGCGGAAGGGCAGGCTTAGATGTTTGCCGTAACGCAACTATCTGCGTTTCTGGATCCTTACAAGGTTATGCCTCAAACGTAATGCGTTCTGGATCAACATCATATATCAAAGCATGTTCTGACGTCTGCTGTAGAAGATGACCTGTTGGCGTGGGAGCTATCTTGAAGAGAAGCATGGACGTTTTCTTGATTCTACGACGAAGACGAAGTCATTGGTAGATGGAATCTGCTGCTGAAGTGTCCGTCGGTGGTGCCGTCCGGCCGTTTCTTCTATGATAGCAGCAGAATGGAGTTCATCAATTCATGTCTTGGCTAGTTCGAGAAATGATTTACGGGTCACACACATTATAATCTCTCTCTGGTATGGCATCGGTTACCTGTCTATCCTGTTGTTCAGCAAGCTTCTTAACCAGACGCTGTGCGAATTCTTCAGGGAGGATCGGAGACTGCCCATGCCGATGTAATATATACGAATCGCATTTCTTTGTTTAGATGTTTGGGCGATCTGACGCCGCTTTAATTTGTGTTTGAAGCAGCAAATTTTGCTAGCGAATCGACGGCGGTGGTGTAGAACATTACATGACGTTTATCTGCTCTGCTGGTAATGTTAGCCATCTTAGGATATTCATGAAAGCCGTCTGTTGGTACAGATCAGTCTGTATTTCGGAAGACTAGTCCATTGCGGAGGATGGCCTGGTTAGGCATAATTGCAAACGCACGCATGCATATCATCGTTTCGGGAAGCGAGGCTATTTTCTATGTACTGGTCGACATACTTGGAGACTTTGGTCTGTGATCCGACCAGAATCTTATTAGTAAATAGAGCCATGTTAACGAGTTTTCTTTTAACTGGTCGTTTGATGGTACGAAGCTTTTTCCATGGGAACTACAACAGGAGAAGGGGTTTTTCATTAAGTGAGTAAAGCTGCTTGTGGAGGTAAAGCTGCTTCATAGACCTTGGCGTATGAGCCTTGTTTGTTATCTGCGCTGTGTAGTTACATCTGAGTTGTCAGTCAGCGCAACAACTTCGAGATGATCTTCAGCAGAGTACGAAAGCAAAGTTTTGTTTCTGAAGAGAATAGTTGGAAATGTAATAAGTAGGTGTTCGACAAGTTTAATGTAGGAAGGAAACGTCTGAAATAGCATGGTTTTCAAATTTTAATGGTTGAGAACGTGGCATATGCTGAAGGCTCAATCCAAACTGTTCCAGTTACTTGTAACATGATTAGTGATGATACATTCGTATCCATGTGCCATGCTTTACTATGATGAATTTTTGTCAAGTGTGGAGTTTGGTGCGCTTGCCTGCCATATACAATACTTGTGAGGTATACAGAATTTGTAACTTTTCTATATTTGTCCTAAGGTCGTGGCAGACAAGTACGTAAGTCTATGTAGACAAATCGGAATATGTCTTGGATGAATGTGAATATACTGCAAACTGAACGTCATATGGCCTTTCCATTCTTAAACGGAAATTAACGTTATGGAGACAGCAAGGGTGGAGACTATCTGTACGAGTGAGGAGATTCATCCGTGTGACACAAAAGTCAAACATCGGAAAAGTAAAAACCAATGTGCAACTTGCTGGGATCTAGATAATCATTTCGGAATTTTTAAAAGTTTGTAGAAGTTGTTTTAGTCCTATTTGGACACAAACCAATGTAGCATCACTTTTGTACGTACCTTTTCAGGTATGTTTGCTGAATTCATTCTGATTGGTATCTAACCTCTTTCAATACAGGTTAGAGACTTTGACATCCCAGATCTAGTCAATATATGATATGATTCTTCATAATAGATTGTCGTGCATGGTTTAAGTAAAGTAGTTTTTCTAAATGAAAAAGTATAGATTGATGTATAACATATGCATCTTACTTCATTATCATACATAATCACCTTTTATGTATCCATTTAATTATTGCAGCAGGTGCACATATAAGTATGCGCACTTCCTATTCTGCAAGGGAGAGTATTTTGTTACAATGCATATCCTAGTATCGATATTTGATTGGTCGAAAACCTTACACGTTACCCTGCTTGCTACTCATCCGAGTAACTTATAACACTGCATCTACCAATCAGAGAGAGCCCTAAGCGGATAAGAGGGTTAATTAGCCCTCTTGTAATAACTAGTAGTTATTTGAAAATATTATTATTTTGTTTTATTGTACTTTAACTTGTATAAATACTTAAAATATTTAAAGCTTGATTCTTATGAAATTCTTTTAATTTCTAAGTGTTGTTAGCAAGTTCCATTTTATAACATTACATTTCACTAAGTTTATTAATTGAAATTAACAATTGATTAATTATTGATGGATTACTTTCTCCAACGTCAATGTAATGTTATCATGGAACTTTTAAGACATGGACATAAAATTATGCCATTGCCATGATCTTCAAAAATTGATCTTTTAGTTCATAATTTATGCCTCGCCAAATTTTATTAAATAAATTTGATCATTTCTAATTTTTATTAATTTTTATTGTCTGATGTGAATATTTAAGATGCTCGATATATGAGGATTTTTTTACTTTAATTCATTGCTGTGATAAAAAAAATTTAACGCATTTTGATAAAAAAAATATATTTTTATTCAAATTATATATTGAAGGTGAATTCCATTTAATGCTCAAACTTCACTGCATAAAAAAAAAGTGGTTAAAAAATTATTTGATGATATATTGAAACATGTAAAAGAAAATTTATATGAAATCATTACATCTGTAAATGTAAATATGCTTGCTTCTTTGGTTTTTTATATTAATGTTATGATGCTTATAAATAACTCATCTTTAATTGAGCATTGGACTTCTCCTTTTAGTGTTTGTGCTCGGACTCAATGAAATTTTGGTTTATTCGCCTTTTAGTTTTTAACATAAATATGAAAAGAAAGGCTTGAAAATCAAATTGAAGTAAATTTATCTTCAAACTTTTCCAGCTTATAACATATTTGTTTATGCGAAATTTTTTAAATGTTCCTTCATGATAATTTTAAAAAAATTTGAATTTTGGATTAATTTGATTGGACAACAATTATCATAAGCTGGCATTTAATTCATATTAAAAACGTGCATCTTCATTCAAAAAAGATCAAGACAAACTCTGCATATATTCTATAAATTTTGAATCTTCATGATACTTACACACAATATACAACACATAAAAAAAATAGCATTTTGAAGATCCATAATGATCCTGTTATTGTGCAAAACACGTCAATGCTGTATCACTTTGGATAATTTTTTATAAATTTAGAAATGTATCAGAAATTTTAATTTTTTCAAAAAAAAACTTTGCTTAATTTTATACATGCTAAGTCATGAATAACTAGCGGTGAATAACTAGCTGATATGTATAACAAGAGCATCACTTCGTTTTGCTCTTTTTGTCAATAGTTAGTGATTGAATTGAGATCTTAATATTTGTTCGATATCTTAACATAATTAACGCGAGTGTTAACATTTATCCTATCAAACATACTTATACATAGTAATGTTAGTCATCTTCACAATCCTGCTTGTTAAACTTCTTTTCATAATTTTTCAATATCAATCTCATGAGATAATTAGTTATCTAAATTGAGCGTAACAATGCCAAGGATCTGGATACTACTATTTTGTTTGGGTATGAACAGCCACAAACTCATACTTGGTTTGAATTAACTTTAATTCAAACAAATTAAGCTTTTGAACTTGAGGTCGTACTACAGGAGGAAGGAAGGCCGTACTGCAGCCCACCATATGACAAACTGCCTCAAGCGAGATCAATGAAGATCGACTACGGGGAAGCTGTACTTCATGAGTCCTGTTCATTTCCACAAGCCTCCAGATTCCAATTCACCACCGCCCACCGCAAGGTCCCAGCATACCACATTTTGGCGGCATGCGGAACATTCATAGATTGTGATTAGGCGATTACCACTTTGAGGCCGGGCATACTTTCGCTACTAACTTAGTTTACCAAAACGAAAAAAGAGTTGAGATTCATGAAGTTTCCTCCATCGACAGGCATTATAATTCACACGTTGATGAAAGGAATGCATTGTTGAACGAGGTCGATGGCTTCAGCTTTGGAGCTTTTCTTTGGATCAGATGCTGCAGAAGAGAAATTTGAGAAAAAACTCAGTGTCTTCTGATACGCCAGTTTTGGTTGGCAACTTCTCTATATGCCCCTTACAAGAGTTTTTATTTTGAGCTCTTCAAAGTTTCCATGAGCTGTTCAGATGCAAAGCCCAAACTTCTCTTTTGCTGCCCAGCAGTCCGCTGATCCTGACCTCAGCCGTAACTTGAAGCTACATTCCAAGCTACGCTAGGAGAAGAATTCGTTCGACTTGCGAAGATCAAAAAGCCATGACACCTCCCCTGTCCAGATAGAGAAGGATGAAACATTCTCAGACTCTAGAACTTAAAAATTGCGATGTCATACCTGTGGTATCATGAATGGCAGCAAGCTATGGCTAATACAATAGAGTCAATCGTAGTATCAGACACCAAACTGAAACATCCTGATCGACTGTTGCGATAGAAGTCAGAATTTCCAAGATAATCGTCAGCAAGCGAATGCCCAGAGGATATTGAAATCTCTAGTTGGTGCTGAAACCAAAACAAATTTACTATGTTTCTGCACACTAGACCCGATGAAACTCACACACAAGGTCAAACATGTCTTAACCGTTTCTGCTTGTATTTTTTTTAAATTTGAAGTATTGACATGAATGATAAAGTCCTGAAGTTTTCATGACATTTTTTACAGATAGGTCGGGGTTTGGCAAAGCTTACGCGAAAGCTCCAACCATTGCATAAATTCTAGTCTCAGTGAGAATGAGGAGGATGATTGTCAGAAGAGAATACACAAATTGTCGTCACCAGGAAAGGAGCCAAATGTACAAAAAAACCTGGAGTGACGAGATAATGCTGAAGATGTGAATAAACTTGATGCTTGGGTCCAGGGTTGGTCCCGCGTGATATGGTCTCAGGTCATACTGGATGCAATCTCTTCAGAACTGACATGATGAGGATCTTCTGGATCAGTCACATAAGCTTCGTGCTTGTAGGAGAAACCGGAACTGAGCCATATCATTGCGAATACAGCAACCATGGCCAGTACAGCAAAAAAGAAAAACTCGTTTGCTTTGGAAAGACTAGTTCCAACTCCGGCAACAATAATGATTGTGAAAATGTTTCCTGAAAGCCACAAGATACACTATCAGAATCTACCATTACATGTGGCCAAGTTAACTCGGAAAGAAAGTGAGCAAGCTATGCAACTTTCTTGTTCAGCCAGCTTATGAAGAGATACGAAGGTTAGCTGAATAAACATTTGTGCAACTACTGGCAAAATTCGATTAATGTGCACAAGTAAAAGCATGGTCTTACCTCCAGCAACAGTGAACAGCCATATTGACATAACGATCGACTTCATAGAGGCTGGGGCTTGAGAATACGCGAACTCTAAACCTGTGATGCTGAACAATATTTCTCCAGCTGTCACAATAACGTTTTGGGGTATCTGCCAAAGGATTGAGACTGAATCTGCAGGAGACGTGTCTATCCATATTTGAAGTAGTCCGGAGTTGACAAAAGCAACGGCACTGAGGACCAAACCCATCCACATACGAGGTATAGGTTTCAAAGGGACCCCTCGGTTCTCGAAGAAGGGATATATCAACTGGTCAAATAGTGGAATCAACACTAGAATCAAAATCGGATTCAAAGCCTGCATAAAAACATGAAAACAGTGAGAACTTGTAGAACTGAAACATAAGCTTGTTCCTTTGCACTCTCCTTTCAAGCAACAAAGGCGTCTTCAAGTTTGAAGTTCTTCGAGATAACAAGATCAGCAGATAGTACAAGCGAAGCTCAAGTGAAAACTTGACATCTGAAGGTCATTAAAGTGGAGTGGAGAGAGACTAAACCGGAAAGTGCTAAATCAAGTGTAAGAATAAACTAAGAGAGTTGCTACTCCTGCGAGCTGAGGTGATTGCAATGGACATACCTGCATCTGGTCTGGCTGAACAACTACACCACCAAGCCATGGAATGTCAAGTTTCATGTCGGCACCCTGGAAGATCCACTTCGAAGACTGCTGGTCGGAGAGAGACCAGAACAAAGGAGTAGGTAGCAAGACAATCACAACCTGAATCAAGCCTTTGATATCCTCCACTCTGTCATTACCGTGCTTCGGTTTCGCAATATCCAAAAAGGACTTGGACTTTTCTTCTCGTTTGCGATCTGCGTCTGTTTTGTCGGGGTTAAGAAGAGGTTGTCGCTCTGGGTTTGGTTTTTTACTTGTAACCTGAAGCTTTATCGCATCATATACAATCAAGCCAACCTCACCAAAAATATTGCCTTCGGGAGCCCTGTCCACATAGAACTTTTGGCCACTCCAGAAGATAAAAAGTGCGACCATCATCAAAAGTGCAGGCACGGAGAATGCAATTGAATAGGCGTAGTACTCTCTCAAGAGTGGAGTCAGAACGGTAGATATCACTGCCCCAGCATTTATAGCAGCATAATACAATGAGAAGAATGAGCGTTGAATTCTGTCTCTGACAGGACCTTCTGGAATTGTACCCTCAATCTGATCGCCTCCAAACGCCGATACACAGGGTTTGATACCACCAGTACCTAAGGCTATCAGAAACAAGCCACAAGCTGTTGCCCAAAACGCTGTTCTTTGGCCAGCAGGTTTACTAGTGTCAGGTAGAGCTGCTGCTGTCAGTACCCAATTACCCACGGCGTATACAATGGATAAGTAGAGTATAGTGCGGTACTTGCCCTGTGAAGACCCAACAAGAAAATCGATCAGATGAGCTTTCCTTCAATATCGCTAAATTCGAGGTCACAAAAACTTACTCTCAATTGGGTAGGCTTCCTGGTGATGAATTAGGCAGCAAAATTTGATTTCTCGACAAACAGAACGATGGACGAAAAACGGGAATAGTCCAACTCAATTCCAGCCGCAAGTCAATGATCGACAGGAGAAGACTGCCTAAACATCTTAAACCCCCATGGAGGTACCACACCCATCATCCTCCCCAGCTACTAATGGTTTCAGACTCAAAACACCTATAAAAACCAGTGCATAGTAACTTCAGGAGCTCATGACCTAAAATTGGATGGCCAGGGTTCACAAGACATTAAAAAGGAAGCTCACAGTTGTCAGGCACTAAGGAGTTAATTCATCTGAAAAATCCTCCAGCAAGCGCTCGGAGCATAAATTCAAAATTATAATATACATTACCTTAGACTTCAAGAAAATTAATCTGTAAAAAATCTCAATCGACCGCAAGTGCAAATAGCTAAATTGCTTACAGATCAAATCAGAGTCTTGAATGCGAGGAAATAATTGTCACCCAGAACAAATTCAAAACTATCCAAAGATTGCAACAAGTGAGAAAAACGACCGAGACATAATTCATTCCCTGGAAGTGTTGCGATCATAATGCCACACGTACCAAAACGCCATCGCTGAGAACCGCGCCGAGCAAGGGAGTAGCGTAGCAAATGACAATAAATAGATGCACAAGTTCAGTGGAAGATGTCTCGCTGAGGTGCAGAAAGTCTAGCATAAAAAGGGCCAAAATCGTCTTCAGCCCATAGAACGAAAACCGCTCGCAAAACTCGTTCCATACCACATACTTTGTGCTTTTGGGCCAGTCCCCTTCCCAACCTCGAGACGCTGCTACCTGATCCACCATGGCTTCAGTCTCCTCGGCAACCTCAATCTCCTCAATCTCCCCGAACACCCTGCCCTCACCTCTCTGTGGCCTTATGCTATTGAATAAACTGTCACTGTCCGGCTCCTGCATAACCCATCTTCCCGTCTTTCCCTACAGCTGAATATCCATCCATTGCAGGTCCATTTCACGAGTCAAACCATATTCCGCCGGCAACTCTCTTCCCAGCTGCGGCAACGATCACACCACCAACCTGAACCCCTCTTCTTCCTCCCCCTGCCAGTTCCTCATCCTGCGCGTTGCAAGAATCCTGACCAAGAACGTCTTATGCTACTAGGCAGAGCAAGACAGACAGACGAGACTACAGTATATTGCAAACTGATGAATTAGCGAGGGACGATCCGTCCTAAGGCCTGATCATTTTCTTTCCTGTCCTGACCCACCGCCACCGAAAGGCCAAAAGGTTCCTGAGATACGGGAGCTCGAGGGGGGAGGTCTCGTGCTTCTGACTCACTGCTCAATTTCCTCAACTCAGCCGGGGCCGAATTACCTTTCGCAGGTACCTGACCTCAGCGTCGGATCGAATACGGACGGTTTCGATGGTCGTTTGTTGCTGCACCTCAAACATGCAACAGGCTAAGAAACTGCTTTTTTTAACACATTTGCCCAAATTTGGGGCAGAGCGCCAATCCAAAGCGCCTATTTTGCCGCCCAGGCAAAAATGGGGGAATTATTTCCAAGAGGGGAAGGGATTAGAAGTTTCTCTTCCATCTGCACCTCCTTATATCAAACGTGTGATTTTGTCTGTTTCCGCGTCGGATTCTTTACACTAGATTCCGTCGAAATTGAAGAGGTGTTTCTCGTTGGCGGCATTCTTTCAGGTGTACTTTCAAGATATCATATCCAAAGTGCACAGGATGGGCATGTTTTTACTTTGAAAGATTGAGTGGTCTCTATCACCACGGAACGGAATCAATCACTGCATCAGTAAATTAAAAGCAATACAAACTCTACGTTCAGAAGAAATGAAACGTAATTTTGTACAAGTTGCAGTTAACGAAAGAGTAGGGATTGATGCATGACTCATGTGGGAATGGACATGGTTTTGGCGCATTCCAAGCTAATAGTACACGATATCTTGTTACACGACGTCCTATCCCAGAATCATATTCGAAAAATCAGGTTTTTGACATTATCCTGGAAGATATTTGATTTGGGGTTTATGGTTATCCAAATTCCTTGTCTCAACAATGATGCACATCAAAAACGAAACCGAGAGTCCGAACATGCAGTAGCTGCATAAGGGGAAATACCGGCGAAGCAATGGGATAATGAGAACGATGGCCAACACCATCGAAGAGGGCTATGATAGTGGGAAAAAGAGAGCTCTCCTCCCTCTCGTTATAGACCGCAATCATAAAGTGCAAAAGCACAACATATAAAAGAGCTGCACAAAGTGCACAGCACTTCTTGGAGAAAGAGGTGAAGCACTGCGTGTGGAAGATACACGAAATAAATTAATCGAAATTCGAAAAAGCCTGGACAGATGCAACTTAAAAGGTTAGGGTACCTCAAGAAGATAAGTTAGACTTGAAATAGACAATGGTAGAAGAAAAGACGTCGATAATCGTTCAAATCTACAAAATGAATCAGCACTTAAAGTCGGTCATACAGTATGCATTCGGTAGAATAAGCCCTCTTGATGAGAACGACAAGAACTGGAAGGTGACGGGAGAAAGAACAGATGAGGTACTGGATTTAATAAGAGCATGGCGACTGACCGATAGGTGGATCGAAGGAGGATGCGTAGCACATGAACGTGATGAAACTGTCGATCACACTCAATCCAGCACGAAGTTGATGAGATCCAATCGCATTAGCGTCTCCTCTCCCTTCCACGCTTGCAGTGCGCTCTACGTCTGGACTTGTCAGTCGGTCTCTCCGTCCTTGGATCTATCTCATCGATCGACAATTATTCAGCCATCAAGAAAATGAAAGAATCATGACTCCTGCTCGTGACCTAATTAAGAATCTTAGTCATCCTAAGCAACCGATGAAGTCACGCAACAGAAGTGTTGCAAAAAGGGGAAATGGAAAAGTGTAAAAGTTGCATACACTAAAGTAAAGGGAATAGCCCCTCAAGTCATACGTGGATGAAACATGTGACTAGTCTCCAATATTATCACATCGATAAATATGTCATTGATGCACCAAATAATTCTCGACTCTATAGGCAAAAGTGTAGACATAGAACACATCCCCCTTGGCAAATATTTTCTTCATCACGATACTACAGCCTGGCACCTCGTATCTGTTGCTTGTTCGGTTTCGTTTGATGGTTCTTAACTTGCTCTTATGTGCATATGGATCACATCTGAAAAGATAATTCTCATGAAGATAATTTTCATGTAGATCACATCTAAATATGTTATAATCAGGATAACAGAAAATATATCCAAAACTGAAGTTAAAAAATGTCATCTTGATATAATCATATACTTGGAGACTTGTCTACAAGTATAGTCATGTCAAAGTATATAAATAATTTATTTATTTATTTATTTACTTACTTACTTACTTACTTACTTACTTACTCGCATATTGATCATACAACTTTTGAAATCAAGAATAATAAGGTAATAACCAAACAGAAAGTTACCATGACTATAAGTAATTGCAATGTATTAACATTGTGGATGACTCAGCAAACTTAACTTCCCTTATGGAATCATATAGGGAAGGGCTAGTTATTTTTCACTTTGGGCTAATTCAGGGTTACTAAAATCTGGCGTTTTATTTTTAGACGGCAGATTTGCCAGAATTAATCTGGCCAATATGCCAGAATTAATCAAGCCCACTTAGTTGACACCTGTATGAAGTTTTGACAAAACATACAAGGATAAGGTGGGCAGAATATAGAGAATCTTGCAAGCATACAAGGGGAGGTGTGGAGTTGATAGCGGGAAAGATTATCTTAGGTTAGGAATGTATTCCCGATGTTTTCTTGTCTCGAACGCAAGCACCGAAGTCGCAGCGAAGCTTTTGCAATCCATCATGAGTCGAAAAAACTCCATTTCAGGTCAAACATGTTTGGTTTGCAACCGGTACAACGATTGGTACAAGGCACCATCACAACCGTTCAGTGTTTATTTTGCGTCCATATTGGTCGTGAAAAACGGAATGGTGCAGGTGTGAAGCGACAGAGAACCAAGATCATGCAACTGTTCCAGTTTCCATTTCGTCTTGAAGCCTACAAAAATCATTTAAAGTCTCAGCATCCTGAGTATTGGACTAGTTACCAATTGCTTTCGTATCAAGAAAAGATTAGTTTATTCAAAACAAGAGATATATCAGGCATACACCGTTACCTAGACACAGACAAGGACACTCTTCAGTTTGTAATTTCTCAATCTTCGATATTTGATGTTGTGGTGAAAGATTTATTTTTTCATTCGGAAGAAGACAATGCGTTCCAACCAATCATCAAGGCTAACGCTATGAAGTTGTTTAAACTACAGCCAGACAGATCATACTTGGTTACGATCAAAAACTCTTTGCGGTTCAACCTTGCCATGGAACACGTTTCTGTTGGACTGTCATTTAGGCAGACAGCCAAGGTGATTGAACAGCATCCTACAGCAACCAAGAATCCAAAACTGAACGGCATCAACGATTATATGGTGAGTCAATTCGTGCGTGTGCTTCTTGCCATCGCCCTTCCGATCATCTCCGATATACTCATGGATCCAAACATTTGAGCGTTTTTTCTAGCGGTTGATGCAAGCACACATTTGGGAGTTCCTGTACTTGACCAGTCGATACGTGTGTGCGTGAAAGCCATGTTGTACAACTTCCATCTCGTGCTGGTTCCATTCTTTGAACGCCATACTGCTCAAAACTATGTCAAGCTCATCAAGACTATGCTTGACAGCGTGTGTCCATCTTGGCGCGACAAGATCATTTCAATCAGCTCAGATGTAGAAAACACAATGACAAGTAGGCATGCTAGAGTTGTCACATCGCTTGAGAAGGAATGTTCCAATCCTGTGCTTCGTATTTGGTGTGTTGCTCATCAGCTTGGTATTGTGGTGAAAAATGCCACGCATGATGTGTTGAACGAGATATTTTATAAGGCTGCCCATGCGTTTTCTGTGCATTTTGAATCTCAACAAAATCTCATCAACAAAATGGGTTCCAAATGCCCAAAGTACACAACGCGATGGGTGGCGTTTGGCAGTATTCTTTGTTGGCTTCTGGAACGTCGTCGTCGATTGATGATTCACATGGAGAAAAGACGACCTATCCAAGCCCCTTCTATGCAATGGTGAATCATTGCAGAAGCTCTATCACCATTGTTTGAGCGGATTGCCGCCACTATCTCCTCAATCCAATCTCCAAAGCTGATCATCTCTCAGCAACGCCAAGAGTTAGCAAAGCTGATGACAGACATTGCGAATAGTTTGGATATTTTTTTGACTTACGCTTGTCAGGTCAAAGTATGTTCGTCTCGTTAAATCAATTCGCGCTAGAGTCTCTAGCGAATGAATTTCGTTCGTGAACAAATTTCGACCGCCTCTGTTCAACAATGATGCTCTGGTCATGTAAATCCGTGAAGATTCCGATGGCTTCTTATCAAGGATTAGTCTTTCATGTAAATTCGTTTCGCGTTGAAATTGCGAGCAATGACATTTCGTGAAGAATAGAATCAATTTAATTTCGTGTTAACGCAACCTCCCCAGTCCGCATCAAAATATCGGATCTGGTACATACATAGCCCACATCAAGTTCAGAACAGCAGCTTGGATATGCTATATCTTTCATCTCTCACGAACAAAATTCATCTGCTAACATCGCAAGCAGAGCCATGTCACACTTGCCACGTACTGTTAGATCGAAAGGCACTAGAAGAACAACTTAGCGTTCATAAATGCCCGCCATTGAAGCTTATGGGCAAATGGGAAAAGGGCTTATACTAGATTGAGAACTAATTAACCCAAGGTGAGGTATAACTAGCACCTCTTATCATATAATGAATAGATAAACCCGCCGCATTTAGAGAGAATGTTGTGTGAAGTTATGTTATCTATTTCGGAAGCAAATGCTTGAAAATTGCTTCCCAACTTTCACATCGATATTCCACCGAATCCTACTTTTCCTGTTGGAGTAGAGGTCGCGACTACTCACAACCACTTTTTCAAAACACGAGCTAATATTCTACCAGAAATTGCTGGAAGTCGAATGGTTTAATCCACAAGATAAAATCGTATTAACATGTCGATTGGAGGTAACACAATGAGGGCCAAAAATACCAGTTCTGACATCAGGATTACCGTTCATCATCTTTCACGAGTGCGAAGAGTTTCTACGATGGCTGCATTGCAGTTCGTCCAGCGAAGACGGAACTTTGGTTCAACTTGGTAACTTCGCAGTTAATCCCTGTCAATACCCTCCACCCAGTTACGTGTTGTTACCTGACATAGATATCAATATTCTTTGTGGTCACATAAACGAAGGGTGGAAAAACCCGATTTTGTTTTCAATATCAAAGTGGTTTTTGGTTTGATACAATAAAACCCGATTTCTGGTGATAAAAACCAAAGTTCTTTTTAATTGACATATGAACTTCTCTGAAGTGACTTCGTCAATTGAAAGTGACAAGGGGAAATCTTTGTTCGCTTTCTCAATCATCGGTTCCATATCCATCCTCTTCCACATTGTAATCGTAGAGCCAGTTGCTCTTGATATATGTGACCTTGTTCGGGGTAAAGGAGTTACTCAATTTAGAATGAATGAAGTCAATTGTCAACCCGTTTCGCTATGAGACCGCAGTCGAAGTCGCCATGCAGAAGAGCTTGATGGCGATACTTCGAAGCTTGGGCAAATATTTGCCATGTACCAACCAATATTGCAAAAAGGTCTTGTGACGGTTGGATAGCATTGTGTGGCACATCGAGTACTCAAAATATTATTATAATATAATAAAATAGATGATACCTGATTAAAACCGAATAAAACCCGGCTTTTGTGGCCTCAGAGATCATCGGCTTTTTTAATAAAACCCTTAAAAACCCGATTGTAAAACACTGCGCAGTGCCACCCTTGACATAAACGCAGTGTATCTCACTTATTACAAAAGTGATAAATGAGATACACTGCGTTGAAATGGTAAACGAAGACTTTTAAAAATTATCCAAATTCAAAGCAGGTGCATCGATTTATTTAATGCCCTTTCGTGGATATCTATATAATCCATGTCTAAACTTTTTTTCATCTGTCCTACCCATTGAGATGAAACACCAGGAGAATGCATAAGCTTAGAATCTCACTGTAGAATTTAAACTAAGACTATGTACCGAGCAAAGACTATACCTTAGCAAGGCATAAGTGTAAATCAAAAATAATATATCAAAAGATTCATCTTGCAAACGTTTGTGCTGCTTCAAGTAGCACAAAAGTAAAGATCTTAAAGTCAAAGTCGTACGCCTCAACAAGAAACGTACAATGATTCAAGTCCAAGTTGTGGAACTTGTAATTCAGGTACATACCGTAAATACGTGATGTGTTGAATGCTTTACTACAAAGCGCCCGGTCTGACAATCTACATGCAAATAGTGAGTGAATTCTTAGTATGATGTCGTGACACAAGTGTTCTTAAATTACTAATATTTTTTCATAAGGTTTCTAAGTTACGAAATAATGCAATGAAGAGACATTACAATACCATCATCATAGATTCCAATGTACATAGTTGATACCAATGAGTCATCATATGGCATTTCAAGACTTAAAAGATGCAGAAATTGTCTAAATGGATCCTAGCAAAGCTTGCTACACAGTCTTATGCCGGTTTGAGACAATTCAGGTCTTACGAGTACGGGATGAATGCAACCTTTGAAGAAAACTTGTAACCTCCAGGTATATAGATCGATAAACAAGATATTCTCGGGGTTCGGTTTCCTCAAATATTCCATGTGAAAACATGGGGCAGACACTCCATACCTGTTCTTGGTGATCTCTTATGCTACGCTTTCCTGGTCATGCGACGTGGGATGACATGTCACAATCAACGTCATGGGATTGAGTGCTCCAGCACATAAAAGTGCTTATACTCAAGATTCTGCATTATCTGTTATAACAACAGATTTTGGCGGATTCTTTACATATGTGATGTGGGGGATATCAGGAATGATGAACGGTATCACCTTGAAGTCAGATGATAACTTGACTCCATAGGCTCCGCTGGTCAAAATAAGACAGTTGTGGAACTAGACAGGACTTGGTCAAGTGACCTGTCTTAGTCACTCCAACATGACAATAATTTCTATCCAGACCTTGGGAGGGATCGATATCCCAGAAACCACTCAGGCTCAATTGCTTCCCTATGGTTTACGTTTGGATTGCTAGCTTCCGTTCATAGTTTTGCTACAGACACAACGACCGGTGCGCTTTCCAAAAAAAAACCCGATCGACTGCGGCACGTACACGACGTGAACAACGAAGTGAAGTGTGCACAGGAGGTAATCCAAAATAATATAAATATCTCCCAACTCGCAAACATGATTCAGGCTGTACAAAGTCCAAGGCAACCTTGCTTAAGACTTGCTGGCTTTACCAGTAACTTAGGTCCAACAATCCTTGAACGGAACTAGCATAATGATATTGAAAACTAGTTTCCAGCTCAGTCTAGTTCAAAGAATGTCAAACCCATTATTCACAACATTCGGCTGCGCCCACGACCTGCTAGTCTATCGTGTTCAGGCATTTGCTTGTCAGTCGTGTTCAGAGCCAAACCACAATGTGACCACGCCTAGTAGCTTCCTTTAGAGCCACTCTACTCCACTGGGTCTCCTTCTGCTCATTGCACACAGAAAGAAATATCCTATTGCGTGCATGCATGGACTCCAATAATCCAGGCACACAAGTTCGCCTTCCAAATTTTCACATGATGCAGGTGAAAACTTCAGAACCAAGTTCTTCCTCTTTTGTGGGACTGCCTCCCCTCCCTGGCATCAGGCTACAAAACAGCTTTTGAGCCCTAATAATTTACAGATACCACTGAACATCGTATTCTTGCGTCATTGCCTGTGCGAGTATAAAAACGCCTCGATTTTTGCTTTTAACTCGGTATGCGGAATAAGCATATCAGCAGTCAGTATTGAACGATTAAAGGGGTCGGTCTGCAAAAAAGTCAGATACATATTCCACAGTTTAGGGCATTGACTAAACTGGTGTTCTCCATCCCTCTCATCACCACCAGAAAAAAGGAAAAGAAAAAACTCAAGAGCATTGTATGCAATTTCTACAATTCCCGGCTCTTTATGACACGCACTTCTCGATTTTATGTTTTCCTTTTGTGTGGTATAAGCTCCAGCTCTTCTCCACATAGAGCACAAAAACTTTCGACAGTGTGCAACTTGTAATTTCCATTTCTTTGCTCTTTGTCTTTGCTTGTGTATGACCTATGTGGTGTTCTAAGGCTTCCGAGAATCTAGATACCAGAAACGTCCGCTCCGACATTTCAACACATGTTTCTGTCGACACAAATCTACTAAAACCTTCAGAACAGGTGAAACATGTATCATGTGTGCACCTAACACGGCACTTTCTGGGGCAGAAAGCTCTCATTAAAAAGTGATGCATAAATATTCAGTAAAATGCAATACCTGATCACTCAGAAGATGTCTCTGAATGGTAGACCGATCGAGAGTCGTCTTTGATGAAGGTAAGATCACTGGGTCTCTCATCAAGGTATACTGCGAGACGTGACCACATACCAGTTTATTTGCATTCGCAGCTCAACGAAGCCACAAACAAGCAAGCCCGTTTTAGAAAACTGAACATAGATTATTCGTAGAAAGTCAAACCAGATTTATGTCAAAGCAGGCAAACAGAAGTGGCACTTTAGATTATCATTCGCGGATCATTTGCAAAATAGGCAGACGCGATATGTTGAAAATAACAAACGGGAATCAAACAGGTTCTAGGGTGCTTTATGATAGATAAGCGGACAAGGGAAAGGAATTTCCCTTCCCGTGTTGCTGCAGCAATAACAAGAAGACTGGACCTACCTGAATGGGGTCTAAGAACTCGTCCGGAATGTCACCCAACAAAGCTTCTGTATCCATGGCTTCAACGGACGCTTCATGAGCTTTTTGTGCTAGAGCCAAAAAGTCTTGAACTGTTGTCTCTGGCAGAACCAACTGGTACTTCCCAACAACTTCGACCGCGGCCACGAATATCTGCTTTTTTGACAGCCGTAAACGTTAACTATCTCATGCTTTCTTGCTTACCAAGCAGTCACTTGAAGCTCCAGCACTGTGTCCCACTTAAAATATTCCATGTTGTGTGAAGCCAGGTAAAATACATCTCTGAACGTGAAACACAAGACTACACGCAAGGCTGATTGGTCAAGCAAAGCAAAAAGAACGTAAGCCGTTCTACCCATGAATATACAGGTATGAGACCAGAAATCAATTAAGATAATTTCAGCAGGCGATAACCCAAAAGGATCTACACCTCGTGTTGATAAGATCGTCCATCACTTGAGATAGCTTTCGCAAATACTCCCTTCGAATCTCCTCTTGCGAGATGTACATAGATATCCATAATCTATTCAACGGAGTACATCACACGGGACGAAGCTAAGGAACAGAGTCAATTGAATATGAAACACGAACTAAAACCATCAACATTGAGATTTAAACTCAGGCCTAACTCACAGTCTACTTTATATATGTTACTGTACCATGTTCAAACAATCTAAACTCTCTGCAAGCAATCCGCACAGACCTTCATGTTCCTCGAGATAACTTTGTTCACATCTTTTACAAACAGTACACTCCTTAGGTCCGTACAGGCACGAAAGAGGAATAACCTGACAGAGGAGCTCCTTCGGCCTGAACTCATACTTTTCAGGCTCCTTGAGTTTGAGGGCGTTCCGTCGCGGCCCAACCAGTTGCATCAGAAAATAATTCAGCATAGCTGCTATTCTTTCCACCTACAATTTGGAAAAACACAGCATTAGAGGAGTGAAAATGCAGATCATGCAAATGACAAGGTAACTAAGTTCATAACGATTCTATATTGAGGTTAGATGAAGTGGGATATTCAAGCTGAGCTGGAAGTACACGGTGTCAAAAAAAATGTTCGGTCAGTTCTTGTCCATTACTAAAATGCTAAAAAGTATATCGATGATAACCATCAGGATTGACCTACTGTGTCTATGTGAGAGACAAGTCGTTGTGTACATAACACGGATCTATAAAAAAAATTCTAATCTTAATGTGAAATGTCATGGTGAAATATTAATCCTCTACGTCCATGTTACACAACTAGATCGTACTTGGTATGTATTTACGACAAGAAATGTAAGTACCATCTCAGGAAGCAAAAGCGGAGCCGTTATTTCCGCAGAGGTGTACTGCAACATTTTCACATCCTCGTTTGCTAAAATCATATCAATTCGCACAACCTGCAAGCCCCCCAGAAACATTAGTGCCCGCGTTCTTTCATAGTACAACTTTCGCTGATAAGAACTGGGTAGAAGAAAAGTTCCATGTGCCATAATGGAACTAGCGTGCACATGTAAAGCTTACGTTCTCCTGTTGATGAAAAAGCCGCATCCTCTCCTGTCGTTCCTGCGGAGGCCTTCGTTGCCACTCTGCAGTATTCGCCATTTCTGCCTCCATCTCTTTCAACTCGGGTATTTTCTTGAGACTCTCATCAAGAAGGAAGATGCTATCGTTGATCAAAAGATTGAGAAACTTCAAGTACGAGCCCTTCTCTTCAGTCACAGCAATCTGAACAGATGGATGACCGATTAGAGCTTTGGTTTCTAAGTCTCTTTACATATTATAACACGTATTCAGCTTTTCGGCAATTAGAACATAACCACCTCATAGTCTGTCGTCATTAGTACTTATCGGTCACAGCCTTAAGACCCAAAACCCCGTGCCCTGGCTGAGCGTTAGAAAGAAATTGGGAAATGGAGGAACAGAAAGCAAGATGAGATGAAGACAAAGGGGGCAGATGAATTATCTGAAAGCAAGATTTCTTTGCAGGAAAGAAACTTCTTACACGTTTAATTTCATAACGGCCTAAAAGACATCGAACTCAGGCCCAACTCTGAAAATGACATGTATTCCATCATTACTATTCTTTAGATCGTCGAACCCTATTGTGATGGAAATTAGGGAGGTAGTCGATAAGGATAAGAAGATAAGTGAAACGAGGGGGGCACCTGTTTCCAAGAGTTGTGATGTGATGGTACAAGCCACAGGTACTCCAGGAGTTCTGAGATGTTATGACGAATGTTGAATTTATCATAGAACTGCGCCATAAGATTTAAAAAAAGTAAAAATACAGGAAATTGAAGTTGTTATAAAAAGCAGAAAAGAAAGCTCGAATGAAGAATGTCTGAAAAAGATCAAATTATCATGAAAGAAAACTACATTAGAAGATAATTCAACATGAGAAACTGCGAACTCCGGTTGAAAATCTCAAACTGTGGCTGCGTCCATTACAACGTACGGAAGTGTCTGACCTGCGTATGCGAACCCGTAAACTCAATGTCGACATAGAGCTTGAGAAGATTTGGAACTAGATACTGCAAAGCCATCTGGTGTCCTTCAAAAAGAGAAGCCATGGAGTTCTGAAGTACTGGGGAGTAACTGCACATTAACGCCATTCACCGATAGCAACTTAGTATATAGGTTTACACATAAACAACACAAGCTCTCATTCAGTTATGTCGAAGATTGTTCTAGTCGATCTAGTGTTCCAGTTTCGAAGTTAGAACACAAATCCTCACAAATGGACTATGGAAGGAAACATCAACAATGAGAAAAAAAAAAACATCACATTTCCTTTACAAATATGCATGATCTACCCTCACCAAGTCCTTACCTTTTGCCAGGCATCCAAACGTTTAACACCTCCACCATCTTCGCCCGTAAGTATGGATTTTTCACGTGCAACGGGCTTCCCATGAACATTACAATGAAGCTCATAAATTCATCCTGATAAGTCACATGTACATGGAGAAGGTCCCAGCATTAGATAACAGATGTATACCCGTCTTCAAAAAAGTATACGTTAACGAAGAAAATGCCCATTTCAGATCATCGTTATACTTTTCAAAATATGCAATGGCGACGAGCTTTTGATGCTATAAACCACTTTTAAGCACACATCACATACTAGGTAAATTCGTTTTACAGTTAATATTCAGTTTGACATGCACAAAAATTACAACAATGACAAAAGCAGTATCGTCCCCGTTAAATAGCTTCTCCCCATGACCCTTTTATGATAATGTCCTCTCGACACTTACCAGAACAAACCCATCTAAAGCTCTGGGAATACGCGAAGCGAACAGAAGTAGCTCCAATGAATCTTCAATAAAGTGTTCTGGCATCGAGGCAAACTCCATCGGACAAGGTGTTGGTAGGGGCATCTTGAAACCCCCTATGAGACTGACGAGCCAAACCACCATCAACCTGTAAAACTTCAAGGCATCCTGCATGATATCTACATCCTGAAGAAACCATAAAATTCGAGAACAAATTAGCATTACCTTCAGATAATAGAAAAGGGACAAGAGACCAGATGTTTTTAGTTTTGCGGTAGTTACAACAAAGTTTAAATACAAGTTCAGAATCTGAGAAGTCATGTCCCCTTTTTACCGTCAGCTACAATCAGGATGTAATCCGGACGTAATTTGCACATTGACAATCTGACATGCGATGTAATCCGCCTCTACCACGATGCAACAGCTATTTGATGGACTGGTCTCAACCCAACTTAATACACTTATCTGTTACCTGACCTCCTCACAGACAAACAGCGGTGGTAAGATGCTCACCTTAACCAGTTGTGCCTCGTAGCAAAGTCTATCCATTGAGAGTCTATCCACCAGTGCCTTCGCTTGATTCAGTTCATTCTCCAACTCGGGCGGGGCTCCTGGACCCCGCAAGCCCTTCAGAGTTTTTACGGCTTCTTTTTGTCGATTCAGATCCTGAGGTGAAGAACTTACACGTACTTCGATTACAGATGAATGATTTTATCACAAAACTTCTGCTGCATATATTAACCTAGCATACTTTTTCAACAATCAAATTACAACCTCCAAGCTACCTCTTCGCTACGAGCACATAAACCACCGTCCCACTGTGTATAACACACCGTCCCACTGTATATAACACGTAACCAAACGTGGTTGATATGAAATCTAGATAATAACTACTCTGAATATATTTTTTCAGATTCCCAATTGATTGGATGATTAGAGCTTACCGTGAGAAGAGTCTTGAGATCTGAAAGAGCCTTCATAAGTCCCAAATTTAATACTCGTGCCGTTAAAAAGAAGCATTCGCAAATGAACGAGTAGTTAACTTGCTCTGAGGCTGCTTGGCCAGGTCCGGATAAAGAACTGTGAGCACCATTATTAGACGTGGTGGCCTCATGAGACTGCAATCGTCGAAGTTCTTCTTGTTCTTTCTGTAGTTGTGCTTGACGAAATCCCTCTGCACGGGCGAAATTACGCTTGTCCACCCATTTTGCGACCTCCTCGGAAGTTGCATGCAGTGCTGTCAAAGAACTGGATTCATCATGACGAATTTAGAGGTGGATCAGAAAATTGTTCCTAGTTAGAGTATGAAGGGAGAATTGAACTTTTTAGTTAGAAAGTCAAACACCAATAAACAATGTTTCCAATCCAGCATTGCTGATGAGGAAATTTTGCAAAGGTCTACAGTACTTGTCACTTTCATGAAACAAAATCCTTAGTCAGGCCTGTGCTTAGCTCACCTGAAATCAACTCGGCCTTTGTGAAGCACGTAACCAGCATCAATCTTATCTTTCTTAGAGGACTGTGGGTCCAGAAAAGGTTCACATAGCCTCAGCATCACGGCACTCAGACAAACAAACATTCCGTTGCTGGCGTTGATGAATGGATTTGACTGTGACAGCACAAATTCAAGAATATAAGAACGTGCTTTTTGTATAACCCCGTTTTGAAGCCTACATACAATTTACAACAGCCTTAACCATTATAACCTCAGCAACTCTTCACACCTGAATAGCTTCTCTCTTGGCATTCTTTTGAATTAGATCAGCAAGGTAATGAAGAACGGGTTCCCGAGTATCAGATGAACGGAGAAGCTTCAATAACAATTCATGAAGTCCATCATAGAGTTGATGCAACATAGTTTTTATTGTTGCAGAGGCGGAATTGATGTCTGCAGGCCTTCGATTCGCAGCATCAGAGAAATATTGTATACTGGACATTGCAAGGCAGGAGAAAATACACATTTAAAACTAAAACGTCAGAAAACTTGCGTAGGTCCAGCAGTACATGTCATCATACGAGAATCGGAACATTTCGCTGCTCAAAAATCAGGTAAACTATCATAACCTTGTGAAAATTCAAGCCAATGTTAGTCTCCATTCTACACTATCAAGGCAACGGCTAATGCTTACAATGAATAATATTTTTCCCAGCGAAAAAATGCAAAGGAAATGCGATCGTTGAAACCATTATCAACCATGGTTTTGATTGTGGAATTAAGGTAAGAGATTCACCCAACATTAGGATCACCGTTCCCGAAAACCGGATGGTCAGGAATGACGCTAATGTGAAAGAAGGGCCCTAGAATGCTGCTCACTTCCAATACCCTTCCATTGACAAATTCGCCTTGAGGATGCCATGCAGGATGCTTCACCAGCACCTTAGCCAAAGGCGCATAGGATGCCAATAAAACTAATGCTCTCAAAGGCCCTTGAAATGGACCTAAAGGAGAAACCTTCATCACACTTTGCTGTAAGTCTTTGAAGACCTTATTGAAAATTTCCTCCACACCATCCTCCTCAAATCGCTTCACGAAGTGTTCAAGAAACCCGTGTGGCAAAGATGGTCCGGCGGGTCCGCCACCGCTGGTTCCAGGATCGAACCCTATCGAAGGCGCAACTTCGGCCAAAATCAGTTCCAAAAAATCGGAATGCTTGTCCTCAGCGGCAATTACAGGCTGTGGGAACATATCCGGGTAGAGGCATATGTTCCCTGCATAAGAAACGCACAACTCCTTGACCTGACTCAATGTGTCCTGTATCTCGGCGAGAATTTTCTTGTCTTTCATGTTCTGCACCTTCCTGCCTTCCTCCAGAGCCCTCCTGTAACATCCTATCAGGTAAAGAAACGGTGGCCCGGTTCCTTCTCTGTAAACGGACAGCCTATCCATCAACACCCTCTCCAACAAATCTTTCGACAGAGCTAACTCTTTATCCTCACTCAGCAGCTCTGCGGCAAGCTGTTCCAAATACACCATTCCGGAACCACTCCCGGGGCCATCATTCGGCCCTGGCGTCAGCGTCACCTGCAACACCTTCTTCAAAACGAAATCCTCTACCTCCTCCTTCCGCCGGGTCCTCACCTGCGCCATCGTGTACTCGCCTGGCTTCTCGTCTCTTCCGCAATCCGATGCAGCGGCCCTCTCGACGCCAGCCTCACCAATTGCGCGGAATTCGATCGAACATCAGAACGATCGGTGTTCGAACACCGATCCTCCCCTTCCCTTCCCTCCCCTCCCCCTCCCCTTGCCTTCGTCCTCCACTTCCAGAAGTTCTCTCCTCCTCCTCCTCTTCCTCCTCCTTCCCGGTCTCAGGTTTGCCGAGAGCGGAAAATACGAACAAAGAAGCCCATTTTTCATTCGGACAAATTCCGCCACCGGACCGACAGGCAGACAGAAAGTCCAGGAGGCCCTCCCCCGGCTCCAGCCCCAATCGGCCCTGCCTGCTTTCCTTCCTCACTACGCACTCACTGCATTCCTTCGCCTACCCTCGTGAACATCACCACAGTAACTTACACGCTGAGCTACCGTGGTAGGGGCCGACGGGTTGGAAGGCGGACTACAAGCAGGAACCGCTAATCGGAGCTCAAAGCCAAGGCCGAGCCGGGTTGGGTGCGTTCGCTTGATTTCCTCAACTGCAGTAGCTTTCTCTTGACTTCAATCCGTCTCGTTGCTTTCGTAACCTTGACTCGGTGATCTCGAGCACTGTGTATTTTCTTCCCTCCTTTTCATTTGAACTGTGTACGACCTGCTGCACGCACTGGCTTCCCTCACCTTGTTTCGCCACGTTCTGTGGATTAAAAACGAGCTTTCTAGATTCGCTTATATCTTGTAGAAATTCTACTCTGCGATATTAATCCTAATTGAAAATCAATCATTCAAATTGGGTTGGATAAATAGGAAGCTTGTAACAGTTCAAAACTTGATTAAGATTCAGAAATCCCTTGATTCCTAGATTTTTCAAATTTGTCATTCAGCCGATGAATGATGCTTAACAAACAGAAGACTCCGAGAGAGGTGTCAGGGATGGACTTAACGTTTTCGACGAGCCTGAAACTTGTTCCTGAAGGAGAATCATCGTCATATCTAAAATGTGTATACTTAAAGATATCATATCTTAGGTCTGAGATATTTTTCTGGCGTTTTAAAAGTATTTTTCATGTATATAATTCATTGCAAAAAAAATTTGGGAGTAACCTGATTATTATAACATGTATCATGCAAGTTGTGTATACTTTGTACGTTGGTTAGATAATTATGTGCCATTTGCTGAGAAAAATTAAGAGCATCTTACCAAAAGTTCTCATATATATGAAACTATCCATTAGATACATTGTAAATGCTTTGAAAGTATCTACGCAGTGGCGTCTTTCGTGAGTAAGATTGTGCTTTTTCAGAAGACCAAACGGAAGTTAGAATGTACTCTCAAAGAGCATTGTTTGCATACTAACTAAAAACATGCACTAGAGCAGGCGTGAGAAAACCTAGGGCTGAGTTAGTAGAGTTCAAATCAAATGACAATTTTATAAATATTCATGTTAATTTGATGTAATGTATCCAAATAATAGATTAAAATCATATCATAATGAATTGTATACAAACTTGATTTTAAATAATAACAATTGAATAAATAGTACAAAAAATTTGGAAGAGTTAAATTGATCATTGAAATAATAATTATGTACATATTTTATTTTCACATCAAAATGTATATTTAATTGTTCCTAGTTAACTTAGATCTTGTTTTAGATCTTCTACTTGCCTGACTTCAAAATACAAATCAATCTGATGAAGCAATGATGTAGAAATGGAGTAAGAGCAAGAGTCATGACTTCAAGGTATAGTATAACAATAAAAGTTGTGAGAGAATATCACTTGAAGATTGAACACAAAGAGTGAAAATAAAAGTGGGATGATTCTATTCTTTATATTGATATTTTTGACAAGCACAAGAAGATAATTTTTTACTTCTATCATCCATAATAATATCATTATCCATCCATTTGTGAAATGATGACATGGCAATTAATTCCAGTAAACTTAATCCTAGATAGGATTAGGTTTAGGATTTCAGTTTTTCATTACATATAGAAAGGCAAGTCATAGTTCACGTACAACATTTTGTAGATTTCAATAAAAAAAAATCTTGTTCTCGTGGCCATAATGCAAAAGTGGCAAATCATTATATCTCAATTTGAAGTTATGTGTTTGCAACAAAAAAAATCTGTGCGTTGAATTTTTGTTATTTTTACAATTGATATCAAAGCCGAATTGTGACAAGCATTAGGAGAATGCAATGACAAGATTGGTGAAAGTTGATATGATAATCACTACGTGAAAGAAAGTGAGGATAATGATTCTTTCATGCTTCCAGATTGTGCACGTGAAATAAATCAAAAGCATAAAATTACAAGGATTTTAGTAAAGAGTTAAGAAATGATTGCGCACAAACATGATCAAAGTAAGATTATTATGCAAAATGATTTATTCATTGTATAAGCTATAGTGTTTGTCTGTTCAAGAACAAACAGTTAATTTGATGACAGGTTGTGAACATGAAATAAAAAATCTCCATCAACTAGCAAAATGCAAGAAGTCTGGAAAAAATTTCACTATACGTTTTAATGTTTGCATCAAAAAGTTTGATGTATATACTTCAATAGAGTATTGATAAGTATTCACAAGATAGATAAAAAAACACAACGATGGATTACAATATATTGTGTTACAAAGGAGTAATACAAAGATGATTACAATCATAAAATTATTGTGAAATGAAACGAGTCTGGAGAGAATCAACCAGAAAGAATTTACAAGCAATATTGAGAAAATTGCTAAGTTCATAGAAAAACCAAGATCAATCTGAGCCGAGAAAACAATTAAACTCAAAACAATGTAAAAAGTTGTTAAAAAAAGTCAAAGATATCTTCTTGGGTCAAAAGTATTAATAAGAAGTAAACATATTACTCTCAATGCACAACTTTGTGTTGAAAAGTTGAGATCTTTCAAAGTTAATCTTATGGAGAGTAAGAAAAAAATATGACTTAAAGAATTCAAATTTTGATATACAAAGTTGAAGTAGCTAAGAAAATGGCTAAAGAATGAGTATTCATGATTCGTCTTCTACAATAGTTGAGGTGTCGTAGGCGATTAGTACAAGGGTAAGAAAAGTAAATCTTACTAATAATCAAATTTTGATTGATTGCAATTGGATGTATAAGCCAAATTAAAATCCATTGGATAACAAGAGAAGAATATTCAAAGCCAAGTTGATTGTTAGAGATTTCATATAAGAAATTTTTTTGAAGAATAATAAAATGTTTTAATATGTAGCAAAGTATGACACATTTAAACAAATATGAACACTCTATGCAATATTTGATTTGGTTATGAATGAGATAAATTTAATTGCAAAAAATTCTCATTAAATTGAGAAATTTAATTTTAAAAATTTACATGAAACAACAAGTTGACTTTGAAATTTTTTTTTCAAAAGAAATTAATTTGTAGATTACTCAAATCATTGTATGCATTGAAGCAAACTCCTACGCAGTGAACTACAAGATTTGATGAAAGCACACATTCTTTTTTAAGTGTGTATGATGCATGTGTATACATGAAAAGTATCTATAATAAAATTTTAAATTTCATTATTTTAATAGTTTACGTGTGTGCATGGGTCCGTTTGAGAAGGCCCAAAAAGTCTAAAGCAAAATCTCTGTTAAAACCCTGGAGGCAAACACAACCATCTAGCTTTACTACAACGTCCGACCTCACTGATGACGTCAACAATGTTTCTACTAGTGCATCCAAAGAATGTATCAGAGGGTGACTACTCACACGAGTGAGCCCATTTAAATACCCCTTCGACCCCCACTACCTGATACATGGAAGTTTCTAGCGAAACCTCTGATACTATTATCTTTGGTGGAAAACTACCGAGTGACTAGACTCTTGTAACAAACAAATAGGGAAAGTCTAGAAGCTTTTTAGCTGCCTAATATTCACCTCACATCTATAATAAAATCCCTCCTCAGATTTTTACAAGTCTAACATGTCGACATAAGCTTTCTTTAATTTATCATGATTAACTCTATCTGGATATTTTGTGCCGTCTAAATTTAGTAGGGAGTAAGTGCCGTCTAACGCGAAGACCTCGTGAACCTCATTTGGTCCAAACCACTTGGGTAGCAGTTTTTTGTGAGCCCTTTTGAAGTGCCGTGAGTATTTATAACAACACCAAGTCGCCCGTCTTGAACACCCGTTTCTTTACCTTCGCATCCCAAGCCTTCTTCATTTTTGCCGGAGCCATCTCAATTGCCTACCTTGCCCGCAGGTGGAACTCATCCAATTCATTAAGTTGTACCAGCCTTCTTCGTTGTGACTCATCTCGATCCAAACGTGCGTTTGAAGCGGTGCGAAGCGTCATCAATTCATATTCTATCGAAAGTAGAGCCTTCATGCCATAGGCTAAACGAAATGGAGAGAATCCTGTAGCCGTTTTGAATGTTGAATTATATACCCACATTGCATGATGGATCTTGAGATCTTAATTGCTCATGTTTGCCCTAGTTTCCGCTTCCTTTGCAATCAGAGAACATAATATCTTGTTTGTTCGTTCTACTAGTACGTTTGTACTTGGTTTATACATAGTCGTAAACATATGGTTAATCGCTAAGCGTTTCAGCAGATCTGCCCACACGTCGCTCGTGAATTGAAGACCGTTATTAGAGACAATCTCTAACGGAATGCCAAAGAGGGTAACGATGCGTTCATACAGAAACCGTGCTACCTCTGTCTTGACCGAAGTTTTCAACGCTCAAACCTCCGCAAACTTTGTCAGATAATCAGTGTGGCAACTACAATGAAACAATGTCCTCTTCTTGTAACTGGCAAAGGTCCCATCAAATCTATACCCCATTTCTTGAATGGACCTAATGGAGGAATGGGATGCAAAACGCCACTAACCGTCGACCTATTGGCAAATGCTTGACATATATTACTATGTTTACAATAGTCAAAACTATCCTTGAACAAAGTTGGCCAATAGTATCCGGCTGCCAAGATCTTCTCCACTATAATGCGACCCGCAAAATGTTCCCCACAAAAACCTTCATGAAATTTCCATAACAAGCGTGGTAATTTTGCTTTCCCTATCACGCGTCAAAGTATACCATCTCTTCCGTAAAAATATAACAATTGACCAATCAAGGTGTAAGACCAACTCTTATGTGCAATTCTTGTCATAACTTGTTTGGTTGCATCTTCCGGAAATGTCATACCTTGGAGATATCTCATGATATATATGTATTC